GTAGGGTCCAGAAATGAAGCACCACATGAGAACACCATACAAGAACATTCTTTATTGATTAAGACCATACAGCTCCAGGCACATACTTTCAAACCGGCCTATCAGAATTAGCATGGAAGCATTTCGTTCCATCCATCAAAGAATGGGGGGTGCTAAATCACCTTTTCATGCTTGCGTAGAAAACTGGAACAAACTTCAGATCTTCAAAAAAATATATCAAAGAATATGGAGGGATGGGAAATTAAACTTCTGCAGGAGATAAATGTCTAAGTATAATCTTTATTGCCATTGTACTTAAATGCAACAAAATTTGTCTAATGGAGATTTTCCAACTCACCTTCCATATGGTGTACGGATTCAAAAGTCTATGGAGATTCTCCATCATCCAGGTCATGGTTGTCCCAAAGGTGCTTTTTCAAGACGCAACTGGACTTTCTGGTTTTTCTTTGATGATGTTTCTCTTCTCAGTCATCAGAGCTGAAGAAGCTTCTTGGATGAGAAGCAAAATGCCTTCAAAGAAAAAACAGAAAGTCCCATTGCCTCTTGAAAAAAAAAAGCACCTTTGGGATTTCCATGACTTGATTTTCATTCTCGAGGTGAAAAGAAATAAGGAATATATTATATGGATCTGCTTAGCAGGGCACAAAGACCAATCTCTCCATCACTGTTATTATGTTGTTGTCCTCAGGAGGGGAAATAAATGTCAAGAACCAACTATAAAAGTGGCTGATGAATGAACCTTTGCCTCATCAGAATCATATGCTGCCAGTATATAAGTGTAGGGTTAGATCAGGGGTTGGCAACCTTAAACCCTCAAAGAGCCATTTGGACCTGTTTCCCACAGAAAAGAAAACACTGGGAGCCATAAAACCTTCCCCGTGCCTATTTCCTGAGTGGCCATAAAACTAGTATATGTGGTTGACTTAAACATTCTTTTCTTGGATTTAACCATGGCTGGCCTATTGGGGGTTGAAAAACTCAATAAATCATCTGCCAGCGGGTGTCGCACAATGGTGGTTGTGATGCATATTTTGAGCCACAGGGAGCCACAGCAGAGAGATGAAAGAGCCACATGCAGCTCCAGAGCCACAGGCTGCTGACCCCTGGGTTAGGTCATTCATGTAGTGCAAAGGGTTGTTAATAAGTTTCATTTATTTAGCTAGGTGAACTGCTTCTCCGGTAGAGTTTTACAACTTTGGAACAAGCTTATGAGGTAGATTATGAAAGCCGAAAAGCGGAGGTGGCGCACCAACTGAAGTTACTTCTCATGTGTGACTTATGAACTCAATAACAGGCACAGAAGACACTTGGTGCTGTGTCTTTTCATACACTTTCTGTTGCACAATTTCACAGTTCTTTCTCCAAAGCTTTGTGGGATAGAGACACCCGCGATCTGTAGAAGGGAGCTGAAAATTGATTCTCTACGATACACATGCTGTGCTCTGTGAAACCAAAGGAAACTGTTTCACTCGGTTTGGGGTTTAGAAGCAAAGCGGGGCAACGTGAATGGAGGCAAAAGGTTTCCTATCTGCACGGAAGTGGTTTTCCGCGACAACCACATCTAGAGCAAATGTGAAGGGGTCTTGAATTACACAACGGGGATTACGTCAGTGCTTTATGCCTCTTATCCAGCTCTTCCTTTGGGAAACTCAGAATGGCTTACGTGGATTCTACTGGCACAGTTCCATCCATGCATTAACCAAACTTCAGACCTACAAAGGCTTAACGGTGCTTTAGCATCTTTTGTACTCAGAAGGTCATAAATCAGAGAGTGTTTTATGACTGGCTACATAGGATCTTGGGCTTCAGCAGCATTAGGGAGAACTCGTTCGTTTTCATTTTCGTTTTATTGAGCTTGTATGCCGCCCACTCCCGAAGGACTCCGGGCGGCTTACAATAAAGCAAGGGAAGGGGATAATACACAAGACAACATATTAAAATATACAACAGTCACAATCTTTTGGTGGGCTGGATATTTCGAAAGCCCCCCGGCCTGCTGGAGCAGCCAGGACTTAATGGCTTTGCGGAAGGCCGGGAGGGTAGTGAGAGTCCAGATCT